GGCAAGATCTTGATTTATTAATTGATTATGAATGGAAATCACCTGAAGATTGCAATCATTATAAAAAGACGGTTGAGAATAATCGCATCTTCAAATTTCTTATCGGGCTGAATCTCGAATTCGATGAAGTTCAGGGAACAATTATTGGGAGACAACCTCTACCTTCACCTGGAGAATTTTTTTCAGAGGTTCGTAGGGAAGAAAGTTATAGGATGGTCATGTTGGGAAAGAAGTTATCAAACTAATTTGAACTCAAGCCTTAGTTACTACTTAAGCAAATATCAGCAAAAAATTTAATGATGAGCTTCGTGTCTGGTGCGATCATTTTGGAAAGCCTCGCCATACTCGTGATACATGCTGGAAAATTCATGGAAAACCCATTAACTAGAAGAACAAACAGAAGACAAATCTGGTTATATAGCATCAACTCATGAAGTCAAAGCATTTCCCTTTAATAAAGAGCAGGTGAATCACCTACTAATTAAAGTTGTTGAAATCCGATTCTTCTTATGGTATTCCCAAGGTTGTAAAAAGCGGTAATCGGGTCCAAGTCGGTCAGGCACCGCCTCACGATTAATCGGTGCGGCGGTGATTAATCGGTGATAAATCGGAAATAAATCGGTTTTTAAAATTTAATATAATATATTTCTAAATATTATTTATAATACTCCAAACATAAAAAGATATTTAAAGATAGTTATATCTCCATCATGTATATATCCTAATAACATAATAAAATTTTAATAATTATAAGATCATAATACATAAATATCCTTATAAAATATAAATAAAAAAACATTTTTTTTGAATTTACATTTATTCTTGAACATTCCTGGCATACATCATTAGTTCTTCAATAACAATTAACATAAACAAAATAAGGCATAAACTCATATTTTCTTTTATTAAAATCCAACTTTTATTTTGAACTATAAAATTAAAATAAAATAAAAATAAAAAATAAAAACCGATTTTTAACCGATTTTTGCCACCGAGTTTGACCCGCCTTAAAGTTTGACCGCCTCAGACCGCCTCGGACCGCCTCAGACCGCCTAAAACCGCCTCACAGGCAAAAAACCGATTTTTCAATCCTTTACACTAAAATTGTAAAGGTTTTGGACCGCCTCCGCCTCGGAGACCGTAATCGGCCGCCTCGGCCGATTTTTAGAACACTGGGTATTCCTAATGTTTCCCTTGCTCAAACAGTTAACAATTCAAACGCCTTATCTTGTCATTTAAATCCCACTCCTAACCCATGGATCATTGATTCAGGGGCCTCTGGCCATATGACAAGTATTCCCCACTTATTCCAAGTATATACACCATGTTCGGGCTCTGAAAAAGTTAGAATAGCTGAGGGTTCATGTTCCCCTATTGTAGGAAAAGGTTTAACCAAACTTTCAAATATTATTAATCTTAAGTCCGTTCTTTATATTCCTAAACTTGTTTGCAATCTTTTATCTATCAGTAAGCTATGCAAAGAATCTAATTGTCGTGTTATTTGCAATGAATCACATTGTGATTTTAGGAATACAGTTTAGGGAAGATGATTGGTAGTGCTAAGGTCACAGATGGTCTCTACTATTTTTATGATGATATCTTCAGTAATAAAAAGGTTCAAGGCTTGAGTAGTATTAGTTCTACTTCTAATAGAGAACAAATAATGTTATGGCATCTTTGACTAGGACATCCTAATTTCATTATCTTAAGGACTTATTTCCTCTTTTGTTTAAAGTATTGGATTGTTCATCTTTTTATTGTGAAAGTTGTTTTCTATCTAAAAGTCAGCGGACTACTTATTCTTTAAATTCTTATCGATCATCGAAACCATTTTACTTAATCTACAGTAATGTTTGGGGTCCCTCTAAGATCACCACCATTTCTGGGAAAATATAGTTTGTGACCTTTATTGATATCATACTCGTTTGTGTTGAGTGTGTTTGATACATGAAAAATCTGAGGTTAAAAAGTTATTTTTAGAATTTTTATCTGAAAATTGATAACCAATTTTGAAACTAATATTGGCATTCTTCACACTGATAATGGCACCGAATATTTTAATGAAGCTTTAGGGGGGAAAAATAAAAGAAAAGGGAATTTTGTCACCAATCCTCTAGTATCGATTCTCCACAAAAAAATGGCACTGCTGAAAGAAAAAATAAACATTTACTTTAATGTTCCAAAATATTTTTGGGGAGAGGCTGTTTTGACAGCACATATTTGATGAATAGGCTGTCAACTCGTGTTCTTAAATACAGTACACCTTTCGATTTTTTGATAAATCTTTTTGCTCAAGCCCAAATTTCTTCTAATCTTCATGTAAAAGTGTTCGGTTGCACTGTTTTTGTTCATCTACCTAACAGACTTCTGTTAAAATTGGACAATCGGACTGAAAAATATGTTTTCGTTGGTTATGCCCCAAATAAAAAAGGGTACACATGCTTTAATCGGACAACGAAAAAAAAATTTGTTAGTATGGACGTATCTTTTGTGGAAATCTTCCTTATTTTTGAAAATTTGTTTAAGGGGGAGAAACGAAATAGTGAATCAAATTTTTGGGATGTTATTTCCTTATCGAACACTATTCCTTTGGTATCTTTAAATATTAATTTTCATAAACAGGGAAATGATACTCAAGTATTGAAAAACCTATAATCTCTTGGCACTCTAATGTGCCAACATTATTGTTTCTCTATTAGGCGAAGAAATGCTACCAATGGCTTCACAAGAGCCAAATTTTGAACTTCAAGTTTATTCTAGAAGAACGAAACGTAAAAAAGGTAGATAGTCTGCTATTGTTTTCTAGTAAAGCCAGTCAGAATTCCCGAGCAATGATTCTCTGAATGTTCAAGGTACACATGATCATAACTTACCCACGGTTACTCCCACTATTTCTGAACATACATAACCTTCAAATGAAATTCCTATTGACCTTGATATCCCAATAGCCATTAGAAAAGGAACCAGAACATGCACTCAACATTCCATTACCAAACATTTGTCCTATAAAACTTTCTCATAAACATAAAGCATTTACCTCAAAGATTTCACAGTTATTTGTTCCATGAAATATTCAGGGAGCACTGGGCGATTTGAATTGGAAATTATCAGTACTAGAGGAGATGAATGCTCTTAAAAAAGTGGAACTTGGGAGATAGTTGATTTTGCCCGAGGAAAGAAAGTTATTGGGTGTAAATGGGTCTTCACTATTAAGTGTAAGGCTGACGAAAATGTGGAAAGATATAAGGCGAGACTTGTGGCTAAAGTATTTACGCAAACTCATTGTATTGATTATCAAGAAATACTTACCCATGTATTAAAAATTAATTCTATTTGAGTACTATTATCTCTGGCATTCGATTCTAATTGGCCATTATACCAATTAGATATTACAAATGCCTTTTTGAATGGAGACTTAGATGATGAAGTGTTTATGAGCTTGCCGTCAGGAGTTGAAGGAAACCATGCTCAAACCAGCAAAATGTGTAAACTAAAAAAGTCGTTATATGGCTTAAAACAGTCTCATACGGCATAGTTTGGACGTTTTGGAAAGATGTGAAGGGATATGGATATTGTCAAGGCCATGCAGATCATCCTATGTTCTTCAAACACAATGAATACAAAAAGATTGCAGTGCTGGTTGTTTATGTTGATGACATCATTTGATAGGTGATAATTTAGAAGACTTGGTCAGATAAAAGAAGAGGCTCGCTGGCGACTTCAAAGTTAAAGACCTTGGAGTTCTAAAATATTCCTTGGGATGGAATTTGTCAAGTCAAGAGAATGAATTTTTGTAAATCAACGAAAAGATGTACTTGATCTACTTAACGAGATATGCTACTTAGGTATAAAGTTGTGGACACCCCAATAGAAGTCAATATGAAGTTAGAAGCTGCCAAACCCGAGAACATAGTTAATCAAGAAAGATATCAAAGATAAGTAGGAAGGCTGATTTATCTATCTCACACACGTCCCGATATAGCATTTGCAGCCAGTATGGTAAGTCAATTTATGCATTCTCCTCGACCAGAACACTTTGAGGCAGTATATAGAATTCTTAGGTATTTAAAAATCTCTCCTGGTAGAAGATTATTGTTCAGGAAACGAGATCATTTTCAAATAGAAGCCTATACAGATGCTGGTTGAGCAGGAAGTATAATACATAAACGGTCTACATCAGACTATTGTACTATTGTTGGAGGAAACTCTGTTATTTGGCGCAACAAAAAATGGAATGTCAGCGAGGAGTAGTGCCAAAGCTGAGTTTAAAGCACTTGCCCATGGAATTTGTGAAGTTATGTGGATAAAAAGACTTGAATAGGATTTTAATGTCACAAGCTCTTCTCCCATGAGAATCTATTGTGACAACAAGGCAGCCATCTCAATTGCGCCCAATCTAGTTCTCCATGATAGAACCAAACATGTTGAAGTTGATAAACATTTTATCGAGGAGAAACTCGAATGTGGCATGTGATTTGCATTCCGTGTGTGTCTACTATTGAACAGATTGCGGATATCCTCACTAAAGGATTACAAAAAAAACAAAAAAAACAATTTCAAGGTTTAAAAAAGCAAGCTACCTATGGAGGATATCTACAAGCCAGCTTGAGGGGCAATGTTTAATATAAAGAATATTCTGTTTAATAGTTGCAGACTTAAAGGAATTAGTCAGCGCACATATTGAATAAAAGAATATTCTGTATAATAGATACAGACTTAAAGGAATTAGTCTGTTCACATATTTTTATTTGTGCACATATTTTTATTTCTGGTTTAGTTTTTGTATCGTTCCTATTTAAAACAAACATCTTGTAACATTTTCATTGCAGCAATATAGAATGTTTTTCTATTCTTTATGATCACCTACACATGAGATCACATAAGATAAATTAAAACCTAGTTCAAACATAGATAAAACAAGATTACAATAACATAATAAATTGAATTTAAATATGTCCGATTTCTCTATTGTGAGAAGTTTAAGAGCTCAGTAGATCAAGTTTGCCATTCTTTAATTTTTTTTTTTTGTTTTTACATAAAATTGTTTCACTGGACTGCAAAACATTTCTCAAAAATATCTGGAAATACACGCTTAACCGAGTCGAAAATAAATACAAAAGGGAAACAGAAAAGAGGAGAAAAACTGTATACATTATCAAGAGAAAATAAAGGCACAATTTTGAAACTAAAAAAAACAAAGCATTCCTCTAAAACATAATCCAATTGCTTGATGTCAAGCAAGTACACAATTGAAGTAGACAAAGAACTTCAAAACCTACCGAGCAAATTATGTCTAGGCTCCAGAGAATATAGTCTGACTGGAAATCTTACTGTAAGAGAAATACGAGAATAGGTTATATAGAGCCTAGTAGAAAAATAAAGTTCCACTTAACAAAAAGGGTTTTACGTGTTTTGGGTGCGTGTTGTACAGCCATATTATAAGGCCAAATTTTTCTTTTTTTACAAACGAAAATTAAATAAAAGAAATAAGGGTTCTCCACCTGGAAGATATCACGGCTTGTGGACCTTGAAACCAAAGACTTTGGGGACATAGCTCTGAGAAGCCTTCTGTGGCTTTAGGTGTCCGTACGTCATCAGAAACAAGTTCGGAAATGTAGTTCCAAAATAGGATCCGTCGACACCTTTGTCCGGTCAAAGAAACAATGAAAACCGGGAAAATTCAAAAATAAAAAATCTAATTTGTCATTATATCTTTTGGCACGTAGTATTTCTTCATAGCAAAAATATATAAACATTTCTAGGATAACTATTAATTTGCCATAGTTAAAAAAGGATACTCTCCTGGAACCTGGAGCGAGGAGTGTAAATATCTTCACATCTGGGACAATATATTTTAACAGTGCCTTTGCGTGGAATATCCGATTCACCGACAGGTAGGCAAGGTTGGCCACAACAGTGAACCCTAGGGCATCTTCCAAACTCTGCATTCTTGTATTTCTCTAGCTGTTTTCATGGCCATACATTACATTGAGAGATTGCATAGTCTGATGGAATTAACTCGTTAAAGTAACAAAAAATGTGTCTTACCATTGCAGCCAATCCTTTAGTTGTTAGTATGTAACGCACGTGTATTAGACCATAAAGCATCTCGGCAGCAGATTCCACTAATTCATTCTGTTCCTCTGTAAATGAGTCACCTACAAATTTCAGCTATTATAGTAAAACCTAATAAAGTTCAAAGGAATAGTTTTGACGATTTTTTACGAGGATATAACCATTATATGAAAGCATATTACGCGTCAGAAAGTGAAATTCAACTAAAATAAGGATCTGCTGTTAAAATTGCATTTCATTTCAAATGCCACAGGCAATATTGTAACCCCCATGATACATTAGCACCATTCTTTTTCTTCTTATTATTATGCGTTGCGGGCTTTTCACTAATGTCTTTCTAATAAGTAGTAGTACTGCTCTCTAGATTTGTAGTTCAACAGCATTGCCCTTTTATAGAACTGGAAACAAAAGCATATATTTATTACTGTAATAACTAGATCTACTCATCGAAGACAGTCTCAATTAACGTAAGCAGACAACAGCTCATTTTCCAAACATGAGCCCAAAGATGGAATTTTCATCAAAATGTAGTACGACTAGCTAGAGGAAAATTTAAAAAAGAAAAAAAATAGGGTCTGCTTGGTTGAGCCTTCTCCAAAACAATTTTCGTTCAGACCAATATTTATGGCCAACGTAGCCGATTCTAGAACCATGAAACTTGTTTGTTGGGGTTTTGATTTACAAAATCGTACCAAAAAAGAAAACCCATTTTAGCAATTTGAAAAAAAAATGATCTTTAGTATAATTAGGGTTAACATGTTGTGGTCATGAGAAGCAAGAGCAGGGAAACAAACCCAAACATCCTTTTCAACTTTTCTTTTTCATTGTTCTTCCCGTTTCTTTACTTCTTCTCTCAGTGCCACTGCATCACTATTTGTCCATTTTTGCATGTGACTATAACCTTATATATCAAGAGTATTATTCAACATATTCCAAAGCTTGGTTTGACCCCCCCAATAGTGAAATCTTGATCATGCATACGTAACTGATAAATATCAAAAAGGAAACTAGTTATGCCAGTAGTAATACATAAAGGATTAACATACCCAGTGAAGATTCAACATCCAAGATTAAATCCAGCGCATAGTCATAGTACGGTATTTGACCGCTCAATCCGCACAAATTAAAGTCATCCTGGATATAGTCATCATCAACCTCACAAAAGAACTCGTTTCCACGCAGATTGCAATACCATGATATCCAACAGGTGTCATCATCTTCGGACCCACTAACATCTGATTCCTCAGTGTCCGTCGCAGATTCCTCTGCTATATCATCATAAAATAGATAACTCAGTGATGACATCAAGAGATATATACTCTATGTAAAGAAACATGCATGAATGGTAAAGAAAATTACAGTATGTACACACATCTCCTTACGAGGTAGCCATGCACAGTGGCGAGTCCACCCCTTTGGGAGGGTGGACTCAAGCCCACCCTTAAATTACAAAATTTACCCCATATTATACCTATATATCTATTAAGCCCACCCAATATTTATTTATTAGCCCACCCAAAATCCAAATTAATGCAAAAAAAGCCCCAATTATTATTAATTAGTCCACGAAAAATTCAAATTATGCAAAAAAGCCCTTTTTTCTTCCTTTTTTCCCCCTATTATTTGATTTTGTCACAAAAAAATCCTAAATTTTTTTCCGTGGGCGCTGCCCCTGTACCCCCGAAAATTTAAGCCCACCCTGTATCACATTCCTGGACTCGCCACTGGCCATGCAGAACAAAAAGGGAATTATATGTCACACAGCCTAGGAACCCTTGTAATAGAGACACAGAAAAAAATGTGACTTCCCCAATTTTCTTGAATGGCTTGACTAATGGGGACAGGCTGTATGCGAATCTGTTTAAGGAGATTACTAAATTAGCCATATAAGTATGTTCACGTAGGTCACATATTAGGAACTTGACATTCAAAATTCATGAAATTGGTGCTAGTAAATTTACAGCAAATATTCACTCCTGTATGCAGCTTATATGCGATGAGCTTTCATAGTCCATATGGATATATAGACATGTCAAGTTTTTACAATCCAAATTTTAAAAAAGAGAAAAATGGAAAACAAAGTCACAAAAATATAGATAAAAAAACACAGATGGTGTAGGGTGGATGAGTTCTGTATCTCTAGTATTTGCGGAGCGAGTTTTTTCTGAAGTTGCCCCAATCAGTTTTATTTGAGGTTATACCATGAGTTTTGTTCCAGAGAGTTTGAAGAGGTATTTGTTGATTTAACTTTGGACCGGGAACAAGATTTTGATAGAATAGAAGAGAATTGTTCATTATAAAAGGGACCTTCGCCTTCGCTGCAAGAATCCATCAATCGGACAGTGAATCCTAAAATGATATGACTAAGATCAGTAGGAGAGCACACCATCCCAATCTACTTAGGCCTCATTTGGTTGGGTAGATTAGCCATGATTAACTAAATAATTGGACCTTGTTTGATTTTTAGTAAACCGAATAACTTCCCGGGTCGATCCGGAAATATTATGTTATTATGCATTATAATGCTTTTTAGGGAGTTCTTTTGTTGACCTTCCGGGGTCAGATAAAACAATTGGGTTTTCGTTAGATTATTTAATCTTATCTTGGCTAATAATATCTTGGGAGCCAAACGAGGCCTTAGTGATTATGAGCCAAGATAGTCAAATTTCATGTTCATAGGAAAACCACTTCTGGTAGAAAAAAAGAATGCAACCACTAATTGGACGCATCACATCATGGAGTATGATTTTACTGAATTTAATAATTTTCAATACTCTTTCAAAAGTGGAGAGGATCCAAACTACTTACATTTTACGTGACTACAGAATACGGGATTGAATGAACGAATATCTTTCCAGTTGAGGAATCAAGAATCTAAAATGTTAAATGTAACAATTTTTTTTTTGTCCTTACTACTCTAAAGCTAAATGATAGTTCTCTCTTTTGGAAACTCGGCAAATAATGGCTACTTCTTGACCTCTCTTTCTTTCCAGATGTTGAAAATTTACGTGTATCCTCCATAACACAGTTATTTTCTCCCTAAAAACATCTTGACAGAAAATCTATGGCATGACTGGCCAAGTTTTTGGCCCGTTTATCTAATATATACAATAAGTTGCAGAAGATACCAATGGCTTCAATATTAGCAAAGCTTCAAGCCCTCGAACCAATTAATAGCAAGATTTCAGCCACTGACTAGGGAAATTTCATTTGGTTACTAAACAAAAAGTTGCATGTTTTACATGCATTCTTCCTTGTTTAACTCTTTTTCTCTCTCACACTCTTCATGTTATCCACTTACTCCTATTTTACAACGAAGATAAATATTATGTCATATTAATCTAGTTAAATTGTCCGTAACAGAAACAACTAGTCAGTGCTGTACTTCGAAGAAACTTACCGTGTACATGTCAGTTCCTAAAGGATAGAAAAATCTTCTGTCTGAGTTAGATGAAGAATCTTTAGGCATAAAAAAACAGATGCGGAATCAACCCAGACAAAACCAAGGGGGAATCATTATGCAGAACAAACCAAGACGGAATGTTTAATTTCATAACTGCATATTGTTCCTATTGATTTATCCATTTTCTGGAAACTTTTTATTATTGAACAGTTGTGAAAAGAAATGGTAAAATAGTTCACCGTATTTCCCTTTACATCAAATGATATAATAGCCATAGGAAGCTTAAGAAGTGCTTAAAGCTAAATAGCGAGTGCAAAATATCCCTTCGCGCAACTTATCTCTGTTACTATGAATAGATCAAACATACAAGTGTTTTGTAGCTTCAAAATCTTTAAACACAAATGTCTCACCACTAAAAAGTGCATTAAAATAATCATAATCCTTAAATAATCCTAGGTGCTAAATAATGATTTGGGAGATTTAAGTTCCTTAAATCCTTGGTACATGAAACTAGAAATTTAAAATAAAAGAAAAAACGCAGATTGCATATGAACAAGGAGATGCATCAAAGAAAAGCCTATTACTAGTAGATTGTGAGCCTCCAATTCTCCACTTTCAATAACACAAAAGGCCCTTTTCTCCTAGGGTGCCCATATCTGCAACGCAATCACCAATCGAAATACATCGAGAACGTTCTATAATTTAACACACAGATTATGCCAAAAATGTATGTATGTATGCAAAAAAGAAAGAAAAAATAAATAAATAAAGGGGGTTAACTAACTAACCATCAGAGGGCTTGGCGATATTGTTTGGGTTAGGGGCAGAAGGGAAAGAGTCCTTCAATTTGGGGGCGCGTGAATCCTTTTCTAGGGTTTCCTGAATTCTCTTTAGATTCGGAACGTGACCCATCTCTCCCCTTTGCTCCCACACTTCGTTCTTTCTCCTCTTTCTCTCTCCGTATGTGTGTGTTGTGTGTAGATATATATGATTCGAACACCAATTCAATGTATGTATATATATAAATCTATATCGATATTGATAAATACAGGATTGAATGAAGCAGAGAATTGATGTGAGAAACAGTGGGAAAAGGTAGAATTAGGGCTTTTGGTAGAGAAAATGAAGAAGAGTAGGAGAAGGTTATCCCGTTCTCCCTCGGTTCTCTCTCTGATTTTTGTAGGCTTTTTTTATTTTATTTTATATATATTTTTTACCTGAATGCGTGTGTATATACAGTTTTATATATGTATGTATATATAAAAATAAAATAAAATAACTTTTTTAGCTTACCGGCGGGAACAGCTGAGCTTCCGTTGGAGGTGTATTAAATTAAGAAGCCCTGTAATAGTTGGCATTTGTTATTTCAAAGATAAAATCACAGCCTTTTAAATTAGGTGTTGGGTGTGGCCCAAATATATATTTTGGTGAATGGGCCGTTGATAAATCTATCATGCAATTCTCTTACAAGCAGCCCACATGATACTTGAGTCCAAATTAAAGTCAACTTATTTTCACTTTGGATTTCTCTTGTTCTCTTCATCAGCTGTATCTCTCTCATTCTGTTGTTTCTCGACCGAAGCATTTAAACTCCCTGTAGCCATTCAAAATTTATTATATTTATTTATAGGGTAAATAGCATAGATGGACATGACAAAAGACTTAAATGCACATTGTTCACACAAAAGACAGTTTTTTCAAATAAACGCATTTGCATGTCTTTTGTCTAAAATACTCTCCATAATATATTTTTTTATCAATTTCATCTATTATACTCTTAACTTCCTCGTTACACATTGACCCTGGATTTAAACAAATATAAACAAATATATGACATTAACTTCCATTTTAATAATTTTTGTTTTTAAAAAGTACTTTTTTTTCAGAATTTTTTTTCGGCCAGATTCCAGCGTTGACCGCGCGCGCGTTTCTCCGACGTTGATTTTTTTCTTTTTTTTATTTATTTTTTTTGAAAACTTCTTTTTTTCTGAATTTTTTTCCGGCCGGTGAACCGCCGGTCTCCGGCGTTGACTTTTTTCTTTTTGAAATTTAGTTTCTTCTTAAAAAAATTATTTTAAGAAATATTATTGTCTTAGGCTGCTAAATTACTATCTCTGATAGTAATATTACTGTTTGAGACAATAATATCATGAATATTACTTTTCCGAACAATAATATTACTAATATTAATGTCTCAAATAGTAATATTATTGCATGAGACATTAATATTACGGTCGAACACGCAAAATTACAGACCAAGACGATAAAAGTAATTAATACAGTAAAATTACTACCTCAGATAATAAAATTACTGTTTCTAACAGTTAAATTACTATTTGAGACAACAATTTAGCAGCCAAGACAGTAGTAATATTAATTAAAATAATTTTTTTTAAGAAAAAATAAAATTTCAGAAAAAAAAAAGTCAATTAACAGTTAAACTGTTGGAGACAACAATTTAGCAGCCAAGTAGTAACATTAATTAAAATAATTCTTTTAAGAAAAAACAAAATTTAAAAAAAAGTCAATTAACAGTTAAATTAATTGTCTCCGACAATTAAATTACTGTTGGAGACAGTTATTTAGCAGCTAAGACAGTAATATTAATTAAAATAATTTTTTTAAGAAAAAAAAAGTCAATTAACAGTTAAATTACTATTGGAGATGTTATAATTATTTCGTGCAAACTGTAATTTATTTGTGTCGGATTAATCTCAAATTCAGTTTCAGGTACTATTTTACAGAGAGTTGCAACAGTTAATGTAACACTAATAAAAGACACACATTTTAATGTGGTTCGGATACAATTGTACCCTACATCCACGGGGACCTGCAAATGAAATTTACTAATTTTAGTTTTACGAATAGAATAATAGGACTTAATCAAAATACAAAGACTCCCTCTTTGTTGACGATGTTCTTGTATACTACTCGAAATTATAAGTCTTGAATTTGCAACGCGACATTTACTCCGCACAGTTGAAATCCCTTCAACGTTGAGTCCTTCAGTCGACTGATCGGCCTCCTCCCAAAGAACCGATCTTCTTTTCCTTTGAAAGAAGCAAACTTCGAATATGATTTTCTTTTCGAACAGTATCAAATATAGGGAGCAGCCAAATACATAAAGAGCATAAACCAATAAAAAAAAAACAGTTTCAAGCAACATTTGATCTAACCAACTATTACAGACCATTGTTCAGAATTAAAATCAGATGAGAAAATCATATCAAAAAGTAAAATTCAAAGATCATCCTCAGCATCGAGGAACAACTCATCATCACCTTTAGCAATAGGAGTGGCATCAGCTGTTGCAACAGAGGGTGCAATAGTTTAACCAGAAGTTCCAACAGCTGCAGCATTGCCATCAGTAGTGGGTCTGGCTGGTGAATTCACAGTGGAGTGAGCTCCCCTTGCATGTGGTGCTTCCGTTGTAGATGGTACTCGGTCAGCTCCCCCTGCGGATGATCCGGGATCTCCCCCTCTCTGAGCAATGGCAGAAAAATAAGCAAGTTTTTGACGAAGTTCTTCAGCACGAGCAACGGCGGCCTCGTATTCGGCAGAAAAATATGCCACGAACTTTGAAAGTGCAGGCGCAGGGGTAGTGGGGGAACCAGTGCGGCGAGACTTGATGGATTTCGAAGCTGTAGTCAAACGACACGACAAATCATCCACTCGCGGTACGCGTAGTGGATCAGAAGTGGGGTCCACAATCTTTGAGGAAATAGAGAGTGGGAGTGGAAGAGAGGGAACTGCATTCCTCCAATTGCGTACATAACCTTGATCCCTCAGGAGATGAAATATCAGAGATGAGAATGGGAGGGTAAAGGTCGTGGACTGAGATTCTGCCTCGGCAATAATCTCCTCAAACAGAAATTGGGCTAAATCGAACACAGTCCCAGTCACAATATAGTAAAGTAGAAGGCCCCGTCGTCGAGTCAAGAGCCCTGATGTGCAGTTGGAAGCCAGTTGGCCGTGCCAATGGAAAAAGGAATCCGATAGGTCATGGTAAGATTGGTCGTCCTGAGTGGCCACGAGCCCTATCTACCCCCAGTGAGTGTGGAAATAACAACGTCATCAGAAAGAACGGGGGCAACAACACCAACAATTTGGAGATCAAACAAAGCAGGAATACGAATAGATTTGAACTCATAAACACGTTTGGCAACATACACACGTTCATAAAAAGGACTTCCACAGTCAGACATCCCACTTGTTAGATTGGCATAAATATCGTGAATGACTTGACTCTCAAAGTGTTCAATCCGAGACACAGTCTCATAGATCCCAATACAACGAAACATATTGGTAATCCCAAAATCATCAAAGTTAGGACCCAACGTGCGTTCGGGAACAAGAGCACACTGACTTAACATATTCCACCGGGTTTGATTAGATCGGAGAAAGAATCGGGCATTGAAAGTATCGGTAGTAGAGATAAGAAGCACCAGATTCGGGTCAGATGTGGCAGCGGCAGGAGATGCAGCAGAAGACGATGCACCATCAGTGAATGGTGGAGGTCTGCGCCGGCGAGTGCGGCGGAGTGGTGGTGCAACGGGAGCGGGAAAGGGGTCGGAACCCTCGTCATCAAGGGCCTTGCCTTTGCTCTTGTTTATAGAAGACTGTGGTGGCGGCGGTGGTGACGACGGAGGTGGAGCAGAATGCGGTGGCGACGGTTGAGCAAACGACGATGGCGGCGGTGTGGTAGCAGACGGTGGTGACGGCGGTGTCTGAGGGGATGGCAGCGACGAAGAGTGGATGGGCGGTGACTGTGGTGAGATGGGCGACGATGGTATGTGAATGGCGACGGCGGTGTGACGGGCGGCGACGAGGGTGAAATAAACTTAGAGGCCGAGATTAACGGCATATTACCAAAATTGGAATCTGAGGCAGGCGTGAGGAAGAGCGGCACCTCGATGAACTGGAGGGGCATAACCATCAAAAGGGCCCCGACAGATGGACGATGACCGGAGCGGCGAGTGGGCGGAGGATTCGACGGAGGTGTGTGCGCCGGGTGAGGGGTCTTCCTTTTAGACGATGAGGACGATACACCGGTGGCCTTTCGTTTTCCCATAGTTTTCATGTTTCCATTTTTTTTCTGCAGAGGAAGAGAGAAAGACATCAGAGAAGTAGGGAAGAGGAAGAAGAATCCGAAAGAAGAAGAGTGAACTCTTAGAGAGGTGACTGTTGGGTTACTTAGGGGCATTTTAGCAATTTAGGAATAGTATAGAGATGGAAATTGCATAATTTATCACACCCAATATAAGTAAAATTAATTCAGTCACAATTTCAAGTTCAACACAATTTCAAGCTTTGTATATGAGCCCTCACGCATTACAAAAAAAATGAGAGAAGAAAAAATATTCCCAACATAGTGGGTTACTCCAAAAAGAACCAAATTGCCGCCAAAAATATAAGAATCCACCAAAAAAATGTTTTTAATTTTTTTTAATGAGAATGACTAATATGCACTTATAATAAATATGAAGGTAACCGTGAATGAGAAAAAAAATAAACGTGAGGAAGAAGACAAAGGTGAAATAGGATACTTATTGGACTAACAAACCCATGAGGTTTATCTTCAATTTGAACACAAGTGCAAGCCCCAACAGTCCTACTGACAAGACAAATAACAAACTTAATAATCTCAAATCAAGCACAAAAATGCTCTTATTTGGAAGCATACACATACGTCCAGTGGTAGCTGTTTCTCATGAAAAGCGGAGCATGTAGATGATTTATGATAAAGAAGGCAAGAAATGAACTTGCATTGGTCGTGCAATTTGTAGTTCACTGGGATTTCTAATTGAGCCGTGTAACGAGCTTTCTGCCAAGCGACTCCCGAGCCATATGGTTATGAGGGCACTAGATGTATATGACACCTTGAAAAGGCTTACTCTTCTCGACTCAACTAGGCTTCGAACTTAACACTGACCAAATTGAGGTAAGATGATGTGTATATATATATATATATATATATATATATATATATATATATATATATATATATATTATTAATCCAAGAGTAGCTTTCACTCACTGAAAGAGATAGCTTTTCCCTATAGGAACATCCAACCATGACATGATTATACAGAAAAGTAAACAAGTTGGAGCCTTATTAGTGATTATTTGGAGATTGATGAAATTTTACCTCACAGAGTTAAAGTGTACAAAAAGTATCCAATTCACCGATGTCTCAGTCATATGCAATATGTCTAATGCATAGCTTACATGAATAATACGCATAGCATATGA